CCCTACACTCTAAACCCCAAACCTTAAATCCTAAACCCTAAACCCTACACCCTAAACCCTACACCCTACACTCTCTCAAGCTGTCTCTGTTTTCACATCCCTCTGCGAAGCCCCTAAAGGGTGGGCCGCTGCCCCGGGGGATCTGATCCCTCCCCAATGCCTCAGAGAGAAGGAGAGATGGAGGGTTTAGGGTTTAGGGTTTAGGGTTTAGGGTTTAGGGTTTAGGGTTTAGGGAAAAAGACAGAGAGAGAGAGAGAGAGAGCGAACGAAAGAACGAAAGAAGGAACAAACAAGAAAGAACACAAGAAATACCTACGTAAAGAAGAACATAACTAACGAAACACAGAAAGAACGACCCGAAGAAACATAAGAACGATAGAGAGAACGACCAAAGGATTGAGCGAAACAGCGAGACAGAGAAGGAGAGAGAGTGAGAGAGATGGAGAAACCGATAGCCCATACAAGTAAGGCGTGCGTATGCTTTACACAGGGAGGCAGATGAGATGTAGTTAGGCGGATTTCAGGCTTTTTTCCAGCTGATGGTGCAAGGGGTGTCTGGTAAGTTGGGGTTGGCCTGGCGAGCCCTCAAGAATTTCACGGCCTTCTGGAGCATAGATTCTCCTGGGCTATGCTCTGTTCTTTCATATCGCTGTGTTACCTGGGACTATCTTTTGAGAGGTGGTCGTACGTGAGCGTATGCATACATGTGTGGAAGACAATCGTTAAGCAGGTACGCATCCATGCATGCATGCATGCATAAATGCGTGCGTGCATGTCTGTATTCATGTCTGGTTGCAACTGTGCATGTCTGTAATTACGTGTGTATGCCGGTATGCCTGCGCTTGTAGTGGATGGTAATTGTATGTCATGGAAACGGCAGTAATGGTAGTGTAAACATGAAGCGTCCAGGTTCCGTTTCTGATTAGGCGACACGCTTGAACGAAGAGGGAAACGATGCGCATCAGAATATTGTAGGGGCATAAATAGCCTAAATAATTTGTGGGGTTCTTCATTATAAGTATAGTATAACGGGCCCCAAAACCCTATTCTCCTAACAAACCCTATTCTAATGACTAAGGCCCCCATATATTACATTGAACTCTCAAAGCCCGAAGCTCCAAGAAGCTGCACCAGGGATGCCCCTAAACCCTAAACCCTAAACCCTAAACCTTAAACCCTAAACCCTAATGCTTTCTTCCGTCCTCTGAGCTCGGAGCAGGAAGACTTCCAACTGAGAGCAGCCAAGAACAGTCGCGGAGAGCGCTCAAATGTGTGGAAAAGATGTTCCGCATTGCTGTCCGCCTTAAGGACGACACGAACCCCAAAAGGTTTTCAGGTTCATATACCATATAGGGATTCATAGTATAAGGGAAAAGGACCCGTGCTTATAAGGGTCATTTGGTCCCCAAGGCATGTTGAATTGGTGCTTTCTCAGAGGCTCTGGGAGGCGTGGTGGTCGGAATACGTGGTTTTGGCAGCAGACCTTACATCGCTGCGCCCGATAGCAAGCTTCCACGCAGGTCTGGGCGCGAAGGCAAGCAAGATCGGTCTGGCGCTTGAGTGCTGTACAGGCTGCTCCCTTGTTTTGAGGTCAAGCCTTGTGGCGACCTTCGTGCATGCTCCTCGAGGGTAGGCCCTGCGGTTGTAGGTCTTCCAGCTTTGTGCGTGTTGGTTATTTTCCTAGAAGAACCTCGCAGTGTAGCAAGGAGCTGTTGGACCCTTCCCTCAAGACTCCAGCCCAGATTGCAAGCAATGGATTCCCTTAAGGACGACATGAACCCCAAAAGGTTTTCAGGTTCATATACCATACAGGGATTCATAGCACAAGGGTATAGGGCCCCTACTTATAAGGGTCATTTGGTCCCCAAGGTCAGCATCAGTCAGTGTAGAGTGTAGAGTAAAGGGACTGGCACGAAACCGGCAGCCACCACACCTCAGCCGACTCCTGCAACCCGTTTTTCACACAGCCCTAAACCCTAAACCCTAAACCCCGTTGATCGATGCAAATTTGCTCAGCCGAAGATTCGCTTAAGTTTAAGAACAGTCTGGCACACAGGTCAGGCCGCTGGCATCCTGACGGGGCCGCAAAGCATAGGATCTCCAGAAGTCTTCTCCTTGAACCCCCCATTCAGCTCTCGTGCAGACTTCAAGAGAGCCCTGTTTAGGGTTTAGGGGTTTAG